ACAAACAAACAAACCAACAAAAAAAAGCTGGCTGCAACAGATCTCTTTTGTTTCTCTTCTTCAACAATAATTCTTCATCCTTTATCATGACTTTATTTTCAATCTCCAGAGAAGGAAGTAATATATAAAAGTGAGGAGCAATAGCAGACAGGTCTGATGAAATAAGAATATGATATAGGAATATTTTTATCATACAAGAATATTCTTCTTCAGATGGTACTTGCCCATGCCATGTCTAGAAGATGCAAGACTGAATCTCAGACAGAGGCAATCAAATTAAATCTGTCACAAACTGGTTCTCTGCCAGACAGTTAGGGCCTGGATCCCACAGGCCAGAAATGGTTCTTTCTCCCAGTTCTATATCCCAGAGACTGAAAACCAGCAGTTCAGTTTCTCTACAGCATGGTGTTCCAGAGAGTGGCACAGGCAGAAAGTAAAGGGGGGTTAGATTATGTCAACTAAGACATCAGTTCAATTAAACACCTAGCGTTTTGTGCTGCGGTTTGGCTATGTAAGACAGCACTCTGTACTGCAGACCCTGCAGTTGTCCCTGGAACTGTCAGCTGTAGCTGAAAATCACTCACAAGAAGTGGTATCTCTGCTGCTCATAACAGCTGTTCTGGCACTCAGGAATTGACTTGCAAATGTCCTTTAAAATACAGGCTGGCTTCTGTGTCCCCCAGACAGATACACCCGACCAGAGGAGATTTCCCTCCTTCCGAGTGCTCCTCTATGAGCTCATCTTCATTTCTTCCCTCTACCTGTACCTGCAGGTACACTTTTTGGTGCCTGTTGTCTGGGTGAAGAAGTGACTGCCCAGTGCCTCACTGTTCCTCTCTCCCCCTTTCTGCAGCCTGTTGGAGTTGGTTGTGACATCTTTGAAGACAGACCGAGGCTGAAGGAGTGGCGCAGGCGCGTAGAGGATGCTGTGGGAAAAGAGCTTTTCTTCCAAGCCCATGAGATGATCCTCAATATCAAAGAACTGAGCAACATTCAAATTGATCCACAGCTGAAAGAGCATCTGGCACCTGTGTTGATGAAGATGTTGAAATGAATTAACCTATCTTACCATTTTTCCTGCCCTTTTTTTTTTTTTTAACTTCTTCTCTGACGTCCAGTTCTACGTGTAACTGGAAGGAGCACTGTAATTCTAACACGGAAATTGCAGAGTGGTTCCCCCAACCCCTCACCAGGCCTTTCCTGTAGCTTTGGGGGTGGAAGCTGAGGAAGGTTTAAGACCTGAAACATTAAATTTATACACAAGGCTGAGGCCCTACAGGGTCACTTAACGTGCATCTGGGTTTTATTTCAGTGTCAGTCTTCTCAGAAATGGTAGAGACACAAATGGTATTTCCTGACAGAAATTGAGCCAGCCTGCAAACTGGGAATATTAGAGAAATCTATAGGATGAGCGTTGTTTTCATGTGTTTTTAACACTTGCAGCTCCTTCTCAAGTGGGAAGCACTGCAAAGCGTGCCTGATCCTCACCTTCCCAGCACGTGGCTGCACAGACAAGTAAAGCACAAAACTACAGGCAGTCATAAAAGTGAAAAGACATTGATTTTTTTTAATTTAAGTTTCTTAGTGCTTGGCTGTCCATGTACATTCCACACTTCTTCTATGTGCCTTTAGGTTCCAGTGAGAACTTTCTTCATACTAATCTACAACTGTGAATCTTCGTAATTCTTCAGTTTAATCACTACTCTTCATTTCTGCAAGCCTGGATTTCGTCGGTGCTCGGTCTGCCAGTACCTGGCAGGGGCTGTTCTTGGAGATTGGTGCAGTAAAGACCAAGCAACTTCAGAAAGCCGAGGGCGGCCACAGCCTTCGAATAACTGACTACCTAATGTACTCTGGTGATAATATATAGGGAATACACTGAAAGAATGCATTCACAGTGATTTCTTGAAATACGACAGTAATCAAGTTGATTTTTCTGCAACAATACTGTAATAGCAATCCACATTTCTCCTAGAAAATGCAGAGGGGGAATAAATCTAGACATGTTCTTCTGAGACTGTTTTGGATGGAAGTTCACCAAGTAAACTTCAGCTCACCCTGTGCAGCTGAAGTAATAAGAGAGATTTTGTGGCATTGAGCAACATATGCATCACAATAAAAGGGCAGAGAGTTGTTTTGGAGCTTTTGGGCTCTTTTTCTTGGCTGTCTTTCTTTCTGGTTAGCTGTAGCTCAAATACAAAACCCTTTTGTACCGCAGCACAATTTATGAGGTAAAACTGAGAGAATCCAACCATTTCTAATTTCTTCAGTTGAAAATAGCCAATTGTAAAGGATGCAGAAACTGATGGAATATATCTGTCTGCATGTTTCCGTTCATAAGTACTTGTTTCCCTTGAACCTTACCCTGAAATCCTCGCCCAAGAATGCTTCCTGTTAAGGAATAAGACAAAATGAGTAAACAATTCAGGAATGGCGTCTCTTGCTGATCAAATAACTTCTTTTCTTTCCAGTACTACCATGTCTTGGCTAGTGAGGTTTCTGCTGGTAAGTTTTATAAAACCTGATGCATTCTGGTGATGTTTTTCACTAAGGTTTCAGTTCTAGATACTACTGATTTGGTCCAGAGCCTAGGGAGATCTTTGAATTCCCTGTCTGCAAAGAGATTTCTATTGTACACTTCAGCTTGTATTAGCAGGAAGTTCTGCTTTGTGATTATGTTCTCTATAAAGACAAGAGACCTGACTGAAGGCCCTCACTTTTGATGAACCAGAAATATTAGAAACAGGCACACATTTATTCCTACCCTTCTTTTCTTCCCAAACAGCAGCTGAATAATACGTTTTTACTGATGTTTTATTCACAAAATATTGTCCACAACTGAGTTAAATTTTAAATGGGAAGTGGTTGATTTTTCAGATAATTTTGAGAGTGGAATTCCTAAGTGGATGATGACACATGCAAATGTCTGCAGGAGGGGAAAAAAATACCATGATTTTCCAAAGCCTGAGCCTGTTTGAGAGCACTTGCTGCTGTGCTGCCCTCTCTTGGTTGTATGTTCATCCCCCTGCAAGCATTTTAATCGCCTGCTCCAAGACAGAAACAATAAAACAAATGTCTTGAGTTTAAAACCTCTGGGAGGCTGTGAACAATCTGCCATTCACATGGTGAACAATCGAGAGCGAAGGACAACGCATATCATTGAAGATGTCTGTGACAGCCCCATGTCCTGTTGTAATTGTGGACATCTGATAGTTGAACCTTCTCTTTTCCTTTTGGAAGCTTTCTGATATGCTGGTTTCTTGTCACTTGGGGTTTTTTGCCCTTGGAATTAGAAGAGATCTTTAGTATTTGAAGGAATGAGAGAGGAATAGAAAAATGGATCCTAAATGGCATCTTATCTGGAGGCAAGACTCCCAGCAATCAGGCAGTGGTGGGCTTGCACCCAGGGTTTGCAAGATGGTTGAATACCTCTGCTGCCTTTGTTTCAGAGACAAACTCGTGATTATTTCTTTTATTTACAAGATTCTGTCTTTCTGTAAATTTACCCTGAGATCTAGCAGTTTTCCAGGGTTATTTCTTCTGCTGCTTTCCTGGATTTGAAGGGACCATCTGTATTACCGCTTACCATTGCGAGCAGCCACCCCGCGGTGCCCTGTCCCCTCTCCGGTTGGGTTTCTCTCTTCTCAGTCTCTCTCCTAGAAATCTGCTTCCAGCCCTATTGCTGTTGGGGTCGTACACACTGCTCCTCCTGCCAGTATTGTCTGTATTAGCAGCAGTGAAGGCCAAGCAATTCCCCCAGCAAAAAAAATGAGCAATTCCGTCAGTTTTCATTAGGACTCTCTAGAGCTGTAGAAAACCAAGAAGTCACATTACACAGGGCCGATTTTCACAACGGTGCTCTGCCTTAAACAAGACGACCTTTGAATCTGGCTGGTTCATAGCCTTTTGCTGTAAACGAGCAGGTAATGCTCACTGGGCAGTAGCTCAGCTTCTGAGAAGCCCCTGATCTCCAGATGAGACACCTCTGATCTGCAGATGAGACTGTCCCTGTGAGCCAGCCTGCTGGGGTCACTTCTGTCAACTTCAGAGCTCAAAGTCCCGATTGTGGAAGTTAGTTTGGTAATTACATATATTGGATAAAACAGTAAACCTCTCTGGCTTGCCTTTTAATTTTTTGCAGTGCTGGTTGTTCTGAGAGATCACTGTTCTGCCATTCTTAGCCCTCCCTGCACAGCCAGCCGTGGAGGTGCCCGTTGTGGTGACCAAAAAGGTCTTCCCACCAGCAGCAAGGACGCATTTTACCCTTCTTTTAGTGAGATGTGATTTTTTTGCTCTCACAGTCTCTAGTGCATACCCCAGTGTTACTGCAAACCGGCAGATAAAACTCTCTAAGACTCAATTTAAAGTTTTAGAAAGCGGGCACATTCTGCACTGCGGCGCCGGGTGCACAGGGGATGGCTCCTCCTGTTGTGCACACAGAATGCTGTTGTCAAACCAAATTTATACGCAACAGGTATACAGAGTCTATGTGATTCCAAGAAAACATTAGCATATTCATTACATTTCCAAGAATCCATTTACATATTATAATAAGCTTTGGGGCTTGCGTAGTCGCGCCTTCTGGTGGTCCTCATTTTGAGTGAGCGTCCTTTTTTTCTCAGTCCTTATCTTCTTCATCTGTCCTTTGGCTCACTTCTCATGTTGGCAAAACATTCTAACTGCTTAATTGATCATTAAAACTAACGATCTTCTTGCCACCATCTGTTTGTCAGACAATGTCCAAATTTATTACATCCCTGTCTAAGGCCACCACGGTCTCACGGCCACATACATCCTTCCTTATCTCACTAAGTCCTTGAAAGGATTCGGGGTGGTTACTAAAATAGCTACATTTCTTCTCTAAAAGAGCATTAACCATTTATGGATCCCATAAAGTCTGCTCCAGGTATCACCAGCGATGCATCTGGTTAATTAACAGCGAGAGGCCCCAAAGCCAACCGGTGCGATGATCTCTATGGTCCCTTCCAACTCTAAGTGCGGGGTCGCGCTGTGCCGCGGAGCCATGCCGTTCCTGGAGCTGGAAACCAACCTCCCGGCCGGGCGGCTACCGCCGGGGCTGGCCCAGGACCTGTGCACCGCCGCCGCGGACATCTTGGGGAAACCGGCGGAGGTGAGTTGGGGGCCGGGGGGCGGCGGGGCCTAGGCCGGGGCCGGGGCGGCGGTGAGTGACGGTGCTTGTGCCGGCAGCGGGTGAACGTGACGGTGCGGAGCGGGCTGCCCATGGTGCTGTCGGGCTCGGGAGAGCCCTGCGCCCAGCTGGCCGTGTCCTCCATCGGCGTGGTGGGCTCGGCGGAGCAGAACCAGCGGCACAGCGCCCGCTTCTTCGACTTCCTGACGGCGCAGCTGGGCCTCGGCACCGAGCGGTGAGTGCGGGACGGGGCGAGGGGGGGGCGAGTGCGGGCCCGGCCCGGGCGGGGAGCTCTGTCCCCGGGGCAAGGACAGCGTGGCTGCCCCCGGGGCAGGGAGAGGGAGAGCAGTTCCTCCGTCAGGGTTATGTGATGGGTGACTTTATGGCACACAGCAAACTAAAGCTCAGGGAGGTGGTGGAAGCGATGGTGATGTAGTTTTCCAGGCCCTCCATGAGATTCGGGTCTAGTAAAGATCTGGGAGTAGACTGCAAACGTTAAGTGCTCCTGGATGCTGAATCCCAGATGCACAGTTAGGTCCAGGTAAAGCCATGGACTGGCTTGTGCTCATTGGACAGTCTGGGAAATACTGTTCTCTAAAGATGAGCGGTTCCAATTGGTCTAACTGGTGGAAAACCCAGTAGGAATTAGTAGAGCGTCACCACGCCAAATGCTGGAAGAAGGCTGTTCCTAAAGGTAAGCCATGTCCCTTTCTGCCCTTCTTCCCTCTCTCCCCAAGGGAGCACTTCCCTGCCTCTTGGGCACTGTCAGGATAAATACCTGACAAGATTATGAGCTGCTTGGGTCCTTCTGAAACGGACAAGTATCTGGTATAAACAGTGTTGGAATTCAGCCTGCTTTTTGGTTTGTGTAGATGAAGTCTGGCACCTGTTTGTACCTGGCCCACACACAGCTTGTCTTTGCTTCTGTCAAATTAATACCATGGAGTGTGAGCCAGTGAGAGCTTAGCACAGATTTTCTACCGTGTTGCAAACCAGGCAGGGATAATAATCATAAAATAATGTTTCCTGTCCACTGCATTTTTGCTCTTATACCCAAAAAGGATTGTCATCCGCTTCTACCCACTGGAGCCCTGGCAGATCGGCAAGAACAGAACAGTCATGACGTTCCTATGATCCCTGGAGCAGCCGGTTGGAACAAAGCAATGATGAAGATAACCCAGAGATGACCAGCTCCATTTACTTTTTTCCTCTTATGATCAAATCTGTGTAGCTCTGCACCTTCACTTGTATGATTCACTTTTGTCTTTGCATCACATGCGTACGAAGTTCAAGTGGGGCAATCTTCTGTACTGATTTTACTAAAACAGTTCGAGTCTTTGTCTCAAGTCTGTCTCGCAGCCCAAAGGTTCTCCTGGTGCCTGTGGCTAAGCCATTGCAATCTGCTGGTGGCCATATGTGGGCCTTGAAAAAGCTGTCTTGTAGCAGCAGGAAGTTTAATTCCAGAACACATTTGGCTTTATTGAGGACCAGAGAGGTTCTTGGGTTCTTCCAGTTTTCCTCATACTTTGCAAAGCAGGAGGATCCTTTCTTCTGTTTCCCGGTGGTAGCAGAAGAGTCCCAGCTGGCTAAGTAGAACTGGGAGTCAAATCCTTCTCTTTTCAAGCTCCCCGAAAGCCCTTTCTGGAAAGAGAGGTGATTACTGGGAGGGGAGTTTATGCTTTTATATAATTATTTAAGGCTCATGTCAGATCCTGTGCTCTGTGCTCTACCATTGCTACCCTTGGTGGCTGCTTCTGCCAAGTGTTAGTCCCCAAGATCTTCACGGCTGAATGTTTGTGTGCTGATGGCAACGAGTAGAGGAGGGAGCTGCTTGTGAAGAATTGCACTGTGCCACAGGAAAATACTTTGAAGGTTCTGCTACTGCCAGCTTTAATTCCTGTTATTTGCCCAGTTGTTCAAAATACTTTTACTCCCCCCACTGTTACAGAGAGTTTTGAGCTAATACAGCATCTCACTGCGTGCTATGGATGGACTTTTCAGCTCACTGTCCCAGCGGGGAAGTGGTTTGGGTTTTAGGCCCCATATGCTCCCTCACTTTATGCCCTGGTGGCGGGGCGGCTGAAGGGCACGGCGCCCCAGGCCTTGCCGCGGGGACGGCCCCGGGCCCCAGCTGCCGCCTCCCCCGGGCACAGCGCCCGCTTCTTCGACTTCCTGACGGCGCAGCTGGGCCTCGGCACCGAGCGGTGAGTGCGGGACGGGGCGAGGGGGGGGCGAGTGCGGGCCCGGCCCGGGCGGGGAGCTCTGTCCCCGGGGCAAGGACAGCGTGGCTGCCCCCGGGGCAGGGAGAGGGAGAGCAGTTCCTCCGTCAGGGTTATGTGATGGGTGACTTTATGGCACACAGCAAACTAAAGCTCAGGGAGGTGGTGGAAGCGATGGTGATGTAGTTTTCCAGGCCCTCCATGAGATTCGGGTCTAGTAAAGATCTGGGAGTAGACTGCAAACGTTAAGTGCTCCTGGATGCTGAATCCCAGATGCACAGTTAGGTCCAGGTAAAGCCATGGACTGGCTTGTGCTCATTGGACAGTCTGGAAAATACTGTTCTCTAAAGATGAGCGGTTCCAATTGGTCTAACTGGTGGAAAACCCAGTAGGAATTAGTAGAGCGTCACCACGCCAAATGCTGGAAGAAGGCTGTTCCTAAAGGTAAGCCATGTCCCTTTCTGCCCTTCTTCCCTCTCTCCCCAAGGGAGCACTTCCCTGCCTCTTGGGCACTGTCAGGATAAATACCTGACAAGATTATGAGCTGCTTGGGTCCTTCTGAAACGGACAAGTATCTGGTATAAACAGTGTTGGAATTCAGCCTGCTTTTTGGTTTGTGTAGATGAAGTCTGGCACCTGTTTGTACCTGGCCCACATACAGCTTGTCTTTGCTTCTGTCAAATTAATACCATGGAGTGTGAGCCAGTGAGAGCTTAGCACAGATTTTCTACCGTGTTGCAAACCAGGCAGGGATAATAATCATAAAATAATGTTTCCTGTCCACTGCATTTTTGCTCTTATACCCAAAAAGGATTGTCATCCGCTTCTACCCACTGGAGCCCTGGCAGATCGGCAAGAACAGAACAGTCATGACGTTCCTATGATCCCTGGAGCAGCCGGTTGGAACAAAGCAATGATGAAGATAACCCAGAGATGACCAGCTCCATTTACTTTTTTCCTCTTATGATCAAATCTGTGTAGCTCTGCACCTTCACTTGTATGATTCACTTTTGTCTTTGCATCACATGCGTACGAAGTTCAAGTGGGGCAATCTTCTGTACTGATTTTACTAAAACAGTTCGAGTCTTTGTCTCAAGTCTGTCTCGCAGCCCAAAGGTTCTCCTGGTGCCTGTGGCTAAGCCATTGCAATCTGCTGGTGGCCATATGTGGGCCTTGAAAAAGCTGTCTTGTAGCAGCAGGAAGTTTAATTCCAGAACACATTTGGCTTTATTGAGGACCAGAGAGGTTCTTGGGTTCTTCCAGTTTTCCTCATACTTTGCAAAGCAGGAGGATCCTTTCTTCTGTTTCCTGGTGGTAGCAGAAGAGTCCCAGGCTGGCTAAGTAGAACTGGGAGTCAAATCCTTCTCTTTTCAAGCTCCCCGAAAGCCCTTTCTGGAAAGAGAGGTGATTACTGGGAGGGGAGTTTATGCTTTTATATAATTGTTTATTTAAGGCTCATGTCAGATCCTGTGCTCTGTGCTCTACCATTGCTACCCTTGGTGGCTGCTTCTGCCAAGTGTTAGTCCCCAAGATCTTCACGGCTGAATGTTTGTGTGCTGATGGCAACGAGTAGAGGAGGGAGCTGCTTGTGAAGAATTGCACTGTGCCACAGGAAAATACTTTGAAGGTTCTGCTACTGCCAGCTTTAATTCCTGTTATTTGCCCAGTTGTTCAAAATACTTTTACTCCCCCCACTGTTACAGAGAGTTTTGAGCTAATACAGCATCTCACTGTGTGCTATGGATGGACTTTTCAGCTCACTGTCCCAGCGGGGAAGTGGTTTGGGTTTTAGGCCCCATATGCTCCCTCACTTTATAACTGGAATACACATGGCATTGTATTTAAACAAAAGTGCGGTACTTTTAATGTATAATGTTATCTCTGTCTTCCACTGATCCTGAAAACCTCAGTTTCTTTTCCACTTTGTGACTCGGTCAGGTCACAGAAGGAGCTCAGAGGATCTGCAAGCGTGCTCTTGGGACACGGAGGTCCATGGGAAGGCAAGGGTGCTCCTTTGTCATTCAGGGTGGAGTGCTATTTGGTTATGACTTGAGGTCTCAAGATAGTTGAAAATATTCCTTCTAGTTACCATTTGAAGTTGGTTGTTCCCTCTGCATAATAAACATTTTCTGTGTTTTCAAAATCTGTCAGCACTATAATACCAAACACAAATTTGTGTATCAGGCAAGGAGGGCTACACATTACCTAGTTAATAAAATTTATTAAAGCCTCTTCTGATAAGCATCAGTTTGTTGGCTTACAGTGTTGCGTTTTTTTAGCTCTCAGTGCTTGGAGTCAGGTACCATGGCTGCCCAGGTACCTGCACTGTCTCAGGAGGTCTCTCCAACTAAAAGTTTTTGAAACTTGAGTAACAAACAGGTAGGTGAACTGAGTCTGAGACTTGTGTATAATCAGGAATACTCTGATGCAGAGAAGAGGGTGGTCAGCCCTGGCTTTGAATACTCTGAAATGCAGAGAATAATGGTGCTTTAACTCTCATGTGCAGACGGCTCATTTCCTGGAGGTCTTTCTTTCTACTTCATGAAGGAACAAGCACAAACTCTTGCCAAAGCCTTTGTTTCCTTCAGAGAAACTCTGCTCTGCCCTGTGCCCCAGCTGTCCTATTTTGGGCCATGTTGTCCTCTGCTAGACACTGCTGCAGGCTCAGTGCCTTCCCCTCACCCTTGGCTGCTCCCCGCGTGGGCTCTTGACTGGGAGTGACTTTCTTAGCATTGCAGAGCTGAGCAGGAAGAGATAAAGGAAGGAGAGGGAGAGCTTGGAAAAGAGTGTGCCATGCAAATATGGCTGAATAAAATGGGTCCTCAGTGTGACTTCCCCATCCATTTCCTTGTTTTGTCTGCATTTTGGCGTTATCTGACAAAACATCCTAGAAAAATGCAAAATGATGGCAAAAGTGCCGGGTCAAAGATCTTGAGAAATTTATGATTTGTGGACTTTGAGCTTTTTTTGTAAGAGCAGTTAAAATATTAATCAAAGGATCACTTGGTTATGAATTGCTTGTGCTTTGGTCTCAGCACAGAATGAGAGTCTGAGAGTCCAACGAGCTGGTGGCTGGCCGTTTTCCTTCATAAACTGCTGCTGCTGAATATACATTTTATGTTCACGTTGATCTGAAGAGATGGTCTATTTTTCTTCCACTCAGCTAATGTGGGAAAACCACTCCCCTTATCTAGGGCTCAGCAATAAGGTTATAAAACCCCTTTCCCTTGAATGCTGTGTGCAGATTGTCCCTCTTCTATGGGATGGAGCCTGCTTGATGTCTGGATTTAGTATCTCCCAGCTACAGTAGATCCTTTTACTGTTGTACCAACTCTGTTACTTCCCAGGCTTAACCTCCTAAGGTTAACTAATATTTGTGCTCCCAGAAAGGGCCTCTGTTGTTTGAGAACTCTGTGTAGGCATATTTACAAATTCAAAGGTAAAGACCTGATTTTGAAAACTGTGTAACCATTTCCTAGCTTCAAACCTTTGAACTGCAGACAATCTTTCTGTGTATTTACAGAGGAGAGAAGCGGCAAGGCCCTGAGCAGGCTCTACTGACAGAAAAGGGCACTACTGACAGAAAAATATTATAGAATCACCACAGCTTTGCAAGTTATTCTCCAAGTACAACAATGTGATGCTGCTGTTCACAGCAACCCTGTTCTTGGTTTGTCATGATGGAAAGAGCAATAGGAGAAGGAGAAATGGCCTCGAGTTGCACCAGGGGAGATTAGATTGGATATTAGGAAAAATTTCTTCACCGAAAGGGTTATTATGCACTGGAACAGGCTGCCCAGGGAAGCGATGGAATCACCATCCACGGGCGTATTTAAAAGACGGGTAGATGTGGTGCTGAGGGACACAGTTTTGTGGTGGCTTTGTCAGTGTTAGGCTCAATGATCTCAAAGGTCCCTTCCAACCAAAACGATTCTGATTACTGTCTCCCACAAATGGGATGCCGGAATTCATACATTCAGGACGAAGACTCCTTGTAGCACTAAATGCTGATTCAGGGAAACACTTGAGCACCCGCTTAACTTCCTCAGTGTGATGTGGCCCGTAGTAACAAGGGCTGGCTTTCCACACGTGGGTGCCTCCCACAGCAGGGCCAAGGCCGGAGCGTGCCCTCCTGGGTCGGTCTCTGCTCAGTCCGCCCTCACTCGACACGGGCACCAGGAGGGCTCTCGTTGGGCTGCGGATGGCACACCTTTCCTTCAAGACTCGCTGCAAGACGATCACCTCACATTTAAATAAAGCGATTGATTCCCAGCAGGAGCTGTGGTTACTATTTGCTTTGTGTCCCTGCCCCACGTCCTCCTGCCGCCACCAGGCAGAGATGCCTCCCCCACCGCGAGGGGCATAAAAGCACATTCCCATCTAAAGCACCACGGCAAATTTGCGGGAAAACTAGTCACTTTGGGATGATTTCCAGACTCACTGGAAAATCAACCTGCTCTTTATTTAAGCCACTGCACACACCGCCCCTCAGGCCACCGTCCGCCCTTCCCCGCCTCCCTGTCCCCAGCGTTCCCATTGGCTGTCTAAGGAACGGCTGCTGGGCCAATAAGCGACCTCTTTATTAGCACGTGGGGCTCCGGGGGTTCGGAGGGGGTTGCCGTGGAGACCGCCGGTGAGGCCGCCTCTCCGGGGAGCCGCCGCTCGCCTGAGGGAGCCGCTCCGGGAGCAGCGCCGGCATCCCGGGGGCGGCCCTGCGAGGTGAGTGTCCCGTCCGCCCCCGGCCCCGTGGAGGAGCCTGAGGGGCTGCCGGGGCTTTGGCCCGGCCCGGCCCGCCGGTGAGGGCTGCCAGAGCCCGGCCCCAAGCGGCGGGGCCTCGCCCGCTCCCCTCCGCCGAGCCACGGGCAGAGGCGAACGTGGGCTCCCTTCCCTCCCCCGGCCTCCTCCCGGCCCTTTGTGCCACCCTCCGGGGGCAGGAGCCTGGCAAGCAGCGTGAGGGGCGTCCCCGCTCCTCCTCGCGGAAAGTTGCCGTATTTCGGTAAAAATGGCTTTCGCAAAAAATGCGGCGGAGATGATCTTTGCAATGTTGAAAACAAAAACCCAAAACAAAACTAAAAAAAACCACACCCGCAAACTCTTGATTTTTAGCAAATGTATATTTGCCGTGTATGCATCCCAAGTGCAGCAGCAGCAACAGAAGCCGGGAAAGCCTGAGTTACTCCCTTTGTTTCTTATTTTGCAGTTGAGACTCACACAGGCTCTGGGAACACGAGCTGACATTTGAAATTTTTACTTAAGTTTTAAACTGCTAATGTAAAAGGAGATAAGATTTCAAGGCAAAAGGCTTTAAAGAGGTATTGTGGTCTCTTGAGGATGTCCTCAGCTGTCACAGCCACAAATTTATAGCTGAGACACTCTTGTAAAAGAAACAATTCAGACTGGCTTGTAATACTTCTTAATATACAGACTTCTTAATATAAAGACTAATTCTTTTTTCCAACCAAATTGAGGTAGCTGTGTTCCTCTGGAAGTGCTTGTAGCGACATACTTAACTCCTAGATGTTATGACACTGTTATAACTCAGTCCACAGTTAGGTTTGCAACCATGTATATTACCTGATTTAAAAATAAATGAAACAACCCCCCCACCTGCCTGACACACCAGTATAAAAGCTGTGCAGAGGCAATAGCCTTGTCCTGTTTTTCAAAAGCATTACACTGTTCTGTTATGCGCTCTCGACTTGTGAACAGCAGAGAGAAAAGCTGCTAAATATCTGTTACAAACTTTCTGGATAAATAAAAAGTAGAATTAAAATTGTTTCCCCACCTTTCCTGTACTTGCAGTTTTGCTGACAATCTAACCACGGAAGTAAACTCTTTACAGTAGCCTCTCTCCTGTTGACTTCCTCTCCCATCTTGAGCAAGATTGTGTGGATTCAGCAAAAGACTTGAGCGTATTTCTGAATATAGGCATATTTGTAAGTGAATTTAAAAACACTCCATTTAAATATGTAATTGCTTTGGAATCATACAGTCTTATTTATTTAGATGTTATAAGCATCTGCACTGTCTGTCAAAACCCGGGGCGTTCAATATTTCTGAAAGAGATAACCATTAATCTCTGTGCATGTATTTTCTCCCTATGCAAAGTAGACAAGGAATCCTTGTCTTGAAAGAGCTTTGAGGTTTTATTAATGTTTATTTACTGACTTAAAGAGAAAAATGCTTTATTGCTGTGCAGTTGTCAGTCTGATTTAGCTGGAAGCGAGGAAAGTAAGTGGTGCATGGGTAAGCAAAATATCATTGCTGAATGAATGAAATTCCTGTCAAAGCATTATTTGCTCTGCGTGCAAAACTAATCATGATGATGTATGAGTTAATTCAGCTTATAGTTCAAAACTCCCACTGCTTCCTGCTGTGGTTAATTCTGGACTTATTCTTCTGTTAACACGGTTTCCAATATTGAAGACTGTGTTTAGCCTGTCTTGCATGTGTCATCTTTTTGTTTGAGTTGATGGGGAGGTTTTATCACGTAGCAGTGAAGCTTTTCTAAGAAAGCAGCACAGAACTGTTTCGTATTTTTTGCCTTTACTAAGATAATGTTTCAAACATTTAATAGAGTATAAATCATGGGTTTAGTTATGAGGAAAAATGACTTACAGATTAAAGATGTGTATTTTCTGCTTTAAACTTTTTATCAGTGATAAAAAGACTGCAAACATTAGTATCTTTCCTTCAGAATAAAGAAATACCAGTTAGTAAAAGGTCAGTTTCTCTTTTTTTTTTTTGCGTAAATCTAATAGTTCTACGTGCATATGCAGTAGCTATAACTTGATTTTGCAATAGAGGTGGTCTGTAGATGGTGAACATGCTCAGAAAAGACAACTGTATTATAAATGATGGTTCTGTTCTAGCAGAGAAAGCAGTAACGAAAACATTTTTAATGTGAGGAATTTCCAGGTGCAGGCAGTATTTTGAGCAATGGATTGATTAGCCACTATGGCCTGCTGCAAAGTCAATCTGACACAGATAACCTTCCATTTTTTTCCTTTCCTGTTCTGTAAATATCCTTAAGTTGCTGTAGTTTCTAGGCATGAGAGAGGACTCTGGTTTGTGCTTTAGATAAAAGGTAAAGGAAAACTTCCATTATTTTTTTTAAAGTAACTAAAGAAAAAACTCATAAACTATAATGATTCATGCTAATAAAATGTCAGGGTGCTCAAGAAGCTTTTTTCATTTTAGCTTTTGTCATTAAAGAGGTTCATGTTGTAATGTTAATATACTGTACG